ATTTTAAAATATCACAAATGTGAACATATTCAATGATGATAAAAAAAAATTCATTACTAAAAAATTATTTCATCACTGCCATATGATCATAAAGAGAATATAAGGTTGTAATGAAAAAATTCATTATTATAATTCATCACAATTATAACAAATTATAAATATTGATTATAGATACCAATATATTCAATGATAAAAAAAAATCACTAAAAGCTATTTTATCACTTAAAAATCATGAGAGAGATAATATATGTTTGTGGGGATGAAAATTGTCATTTGAACTCATCACAATTATAACACATTTTATAGATTGATCACATACCTATATGTTCAATGATGATGAAATAAATCATCTTTAAAACATGGTCATAAATAAAATATAGGCTTTTGACCATGAAAGTTATCACTTCGACTCATCACAATTATGACGACTTTCAAATATCAATAATAGATTTCACCCATTTTCACCCATATTATATTTTAATAATTAAATTTTTTTGGAAATTTTTTTTTTAAGCGGATAATAATTTTCAGAAGAAAAGACTTGATTGCATAATAACTTAAGTTTAAGGACTTAAATTAAAATATTTTAAAAGCTTAAGAGCAAGAAAAGTTAAAATCCTAGGCAAAAATTAAATAAGTTAAAAGTTTTGGGATCAAAGTATTAATAAAGTAAAAAATTAAGGACCCTATTTACTAGATTACTAATGAAGAAATTGCAAAACTCGACACAAGTTAGGCGTCGGCACTAAAAAGGTAGTAGCAATACCTTGTGTTAGGAATTTGCAAGAGTTTGAAGTAAAAGTAGCGCCTCCTTTTTTATATTTGATATAGTATATGCTAAATATTAATATTTTTTATAAATAAAATATTACTTTAATTTAATCGTAAATAGATAATATCAATTTTTTATATTTGAATTATTAAATTTAACAAAATTTACTAATAAAATAAAATGAGATGAAAGGTTTTCGATAATACCGTTGTAAAATTATTAAATTCAAGTAAATCATTTTCTAATAGAATGGAGGTTTCCTAGTAGAAAATCTTTAGAAATTAAATTTATTTTGATTTTAAAAATTTTATATATTACAATAATTAAATTCAATACAATTTATCCACACAATATATATTTGTAATTTGAATTTATTCTTTTTTTGAATTTTACTAATAGTATAAAGTTCATTATTAGTTCTAACTTATGGCAAAAAGTAAAGATTTAATAATTAATAATTTAGTAATTAAATATGAGCTTTTTTAGTGATTTTGTGACTACATATGAATCACAAATGAAATCACCACTCATTTCTTTTTTAAATATATATAATTCATGTGAACTCAATCAATTACTAGTTAAAAAAATTATTAAAAAAACAATAACAAAATTATAAAATTTTAAAAGCAAAATAAATAAATAAATAAATCTATTTAAAAAACTAAATTTTAGTTTAATTAAATTACTAACTTATTCCTTTGAAATAATACTACAAAATAATATTTTATCTCTTAAAATCTGATAGAAATAAAAAGATAGAGTACCAGGCAACCGAAGCTAATCGATTACATTATTTAGTAGATAAACACTATATCAAGTTAAGCTTTAAAAATATATGTCTTTTCTAACTTAGCAGATAAAACATTATGTCAAATCAAACTTCAAAAATATAAGTTTTTTCTAACTTAATAGATAAATACTATGTCGAATCAAACTTAATAGATAAATATTATGTCAAATCAAACTTTTAAAATATAAGTTTTTGCCAACTTAGCAGATAAATACTATGTAAAAACAAAGTTTTTTTTGTCTTCAGTTTAATTTTCACTTATTATAAGATTAATTCATTTCTAAATTGATTTTAAAAAATAATATTATATTAGTTTGATGTATTTAAAAAAATTAATTTTATATTAAATTTAAATTTAAGTTTAATTACACACTTACCTGAAATATTTACTTAACATTAAATCTAATTCTTAAAGTTAATTTTTGACTTTGTAGTAAGAATTTTTTATATCTTTTTCTTTTGATTCATTAGAATTTATATTTATCTTTTTTCCATAAAGTATTGAACTCTATGATATTTTTGTATGAGAGTGGAATATGATAGTTGTAAAGTGAGTTTCGATGGAAATTTGATCCAACTGTTCAGAAGTTTCGTTCTGAACTCTTATCTTAAAAACTTTTGGACCGAAGACTTATTCAATAACATTTCAATATAAATTGAATTTTCAAAAATCTATTTAAAAAACTAAATTTTAATTTAATTAAATTAGTAAGGGCCCATTTGGTATATCGGTTTTGGAGTAACGGTTAACAATTTTACCTAAACCACTAAATATAGGTGTTTGGTAAATTTATATATTTCAAAACCGTTATAAATAAAATGTTTGGTAAAATTTTTATTTAGCAGTTTGAGACTAGTGGATAACGGATATAGTTCAAACCGTTAGCGGATTGAAAAAATTAATTTATGTAATTTTTTATACCAAACCGTTAACGGATTAAAATTTTTTAATTTTATTTACAAATTTAACCATTTTAATTTTTTAATTTGTGGTCACATTTTTTAATTAATAATTATCTAATAAATTTTAATTTTTTTACTTTTAATAATAAAATTTTTTTTTTTTTATTCATTGATTTTTAACACTGCACATTGCACACAATTAGGGGCGGGCAAAACCGGTTTTTGCTTAGAACCGAAA